TTAAGGGGATGATATTGAAGTACATAAGAGACAGGCCTTGGACGTAATCCACGAACCACCTCACGGATAACACTGACAACCATTTTTTTCTAAACCGACAGCAGTAACACTGCTGGTAAAGACCCAGTTCTGCTGCTCCGCAATGCCTCATGGCCTGTCCAGGAACCCTGATCTGTCTCGGCCTTTTCACGCTTTGCACGGACACTCAACGCCTCTGTTTCATTCCTGATTTGGAGCCGGAGACTAAAACGTTGCTGAATTTTGTGGAAGTTGATTACCAGCACAGCTAATGGGAATTGATAGAGGCATTTTTCCCACAACGGCTGCCAAAAATTTGTCTTGGGTTTCTCTGCTGACCACTCGGCAGAGGGGAGCCTGAGCTTTAACAGTATTGAAGTTCTTTCAGAGAGTTGATAAACTATCCGGTATCATGGAATATTAAGAACGTATTTAAAGACAATCAAATTTTGGGGCCCATGAATGCTGTTATAAGGTATTATCCCAGTCATATTAATCCTCAATTAACCGCAACTGCTTCCAGTATTTGTGTGGGTACTCTGTGCTGTTTTTTCTTAAAGATTACCTCAATTTCAGAATCCCCCTAACATTACTACTGTTACTTCAGGAATCAGAAATTCATTCAGACTGGTCAAACATTTAAAAATGAACAAGTGGCATCAGAAGTTTAATCTGTGCAATTCCTGGAACCAAATATTCATAATTAAATGCATTGCAAAAGACCTTTATGTATACATCTTTCATCTCTAAGCTATAAAAATCTCAACAGTTAAAAAATCTTGCCAAGCCTGCTCTTTGTCAAATTTAGCTGAATAGGCAGATCCTTGTGAGGAAAGAAAACAGAAAAACACTGTTCCGTTTGCATGAGCAACTGATGACTAAGAGTTTCTCTCTCTCCTACATAATTCAATTAATACAAATTGGTTCACAATTATAGGGCTGTATGGGAATGATCAGGAATTTCCTTTTATTTAATCTGAAAAGGATTGGACTGAAAATCCCAGTAGAGGCAGCCACTGGTACCCGTATAAAGGGCCATTTATATCATACTAGACAGCTGGCAAACTCTGGTTATTCCCTAACTCCCAGGGAGAAACATAATGTCTTGCAGAGCACCACTGCAGAACCATTTCTCCTTCCTACGTACGGTTCATCCCCTGACTCCTCAACAATCAGCTCTTTCCTTTATCTTTCTTGCTTTCCAGACACAAGTATTATGTTGAAGGAAATGAAAGTACTTAATTGTGGTACCTAGCAGGTCAGTGAAACCATCAGGAAGATTAACTTAAATGATCTTACGTGCTATTTCTGCATATCTCCCCTTCTGCTGATGTGGAGTAAATTATTGTCTCGAGAGCCATTTTACTCATTATTGCTTTTTCTCTGCAAGAGATGCAGCCGTTTCTTCTCTGTTGTGTTTTGTTGGTACATTCAATTCCATTTCATGAATCGCTACAGCACTAACCTTGGTACCTGTAAGCGCAAGATCTGCCTATTTCCTTGTATTCAAATACTGGTCATGGAGAAGAGGATACCTGCTTGAAAGAAAACTGCACTTTGAGAATGGGGTAGTAGTTTTAAGATGGGCTCTTTCTATACAAATCAGAAAACGGATCTAAATAAGTCCATGGTAAAATACAGATACTTAATATTGTACTTTCAGCAGAAATTCTGCTGCCCTTTGTTTATTTTACAGACTTCAACAACAACAACAACAAAAGAAAAGAAAGGAAAAAAAAAGATAAAAGAAAAAGGTTAAATGGCTGGTGTCTTCTAGGGCATAATGATAAATTGTGGTACAATATTAAAATGCCACCATTGTTATTGCAAAAGTCTGCTCAAGTGACCCTTCAGCTCCGACAGCAGGACCTCTCCAGCAGAATCTTCTTTCCTACTCACACGCAGCTTGTCTGTAGCACAGCTCGGGCGTAATGCTGACACTGGCCAGTTGGTATTCAAAACAAGGGGAAAAGATGGGATAATAAAGGTCTAGAGGTCTTGCTCTCATCATCATCATCATCATCATCATTGGTTTGTGGTATCTAATCCTCCAATCAGCAGTGATTTTTCAGGAACAAAATGTCCAACAGCTGAGAAAACATACAAGCTATAAACATTTTTTGTCAAAGGACGCAGCATGTAAAATAATGCCCATTCCTGTAGCATTTTGGCTGCTATTTACCAGGTGATTGTGATGACACTTTCAGGGGGTAGCCATGCTGAGGGGCAGACAGGGTTAACTTCAGATGGCGAGGAGAAGAGTGGCACTTCTTTTCCTGCTTTTTTAAATTTCTGTTACTATTTTTTTGTTACGGACATCAGAGAAAGCCCTGTCTGTTAACACTGTAGAAGGGGATTCAGCCCTGCTGAATTCACTCCGGGTAGTTAAGAGACCCAGCTCTTAAACTCGGCTGGAACGGGTAGCGTTTCTCAAACCAGCATGTGCCTGCGGCGGTGGAGCGCCAAGTGATCTGAGCGGGAAAAGCTGCGGTCACAGTCTGCACACTTAAATGGCTTCACTCCCGTGTGCTTGCGGTAATGCCTCGTCAGTTCGTCGGAGCGAGCAAACTTCCAGGTGCAGCCTTCCCAGGTACATTTGTAGGGTTTTTCGCCTGGGAGAGACAAAAGAAAGAGGGGAGGGGGGGAAAACAGGTGGTGACTTTCCCCTTGTTGCTCTTAATCCCCACAACCCCCTCCGCACGCTTCCCATGAACACCCACTGCCTAGGGGTTGCTTTAGGCCAAATTACACAATTACAAGGTACCGAATCTGCTGAATATAAGGAAAGGGCCCTGAGATTTATCATTCCTGTGGCATTCACATGACTAAGAAAATCAACAGGATTAAGGCAACAATATAGATCCTACCTTGCAGGGGTGATGTGGGGATTAACATCAGGACAAAGGCCTGTGTAATTATTCCAATGATTACCGTACGAGTTTGCTACCCTCATCTCGTCAGGCTACCCTTTCTCCCAAAATGGCCAGATTACCCGATATTTCAGCAATTTATCACAGACTGCCACAGACTTCCAATTATTTTTATGAAGTTTATGAAGGTTTCTCATTATTTGTGTAAACTGCTGCAGGACATTTCTTAGCAAGCTGGTAAAAATGAACTACGATTTCCCAATTAAACATAAAAATTCAATCTGCAAAACGTCCTCTTTATTTATTGCACTTACTTTCAGTAAAATTAATTTTGCGTGTAAGATGTTACCAGGAACAGTGTACAATTTTTAAACGTACTCAGCCATGGGACTTGCACAACACTGTTGATAAATACTCATTTACTTCAATGAGATCAGACTTGGGCTAAGTGTAGATTTTTGGAAAATCCCACCCTCTGTTTTTTATTTAAAGGTAATCATGATACACGCCCCATGTTCTGTGTTGTATCATGTCAGAGGAGAAGATTAATTCAGCAAAACTGGATTTTGTGCTTTCATAAAGCAAACTCCATTTTTGCTGTGTTTGTAGGCTATACTTATTTGTGATTTCTATCACCAGCCCTCAGTGCCTACATGTTAAATGCTGTTGGCAGTTACCTTGACCCCACAGTCGAGCATGCACCAAAACTGAGGAAGGGAAACTGTGTGAGGTCCATATGTATCTTCCTTTGGTGGGTCAAAAATGATTTTTACCTCCCCTTCCGAAACCAGCTAATCACAACCAGGACAACAAAAGAGAATCTCTGCAACAACTGCTTCCTTCGTCAGGCGCAATCATTCCTCAGTTATTTATTATCTCTTATGAATCACGAGCAGCTTGCAAGAAACTATTTCAACTACACGAACCAGTGACGCAACGCTTGCTTTGTCGTAGGCAGCACCTCCCTCCATGCGTCTCTTCAAAAGTCAATAAATGCTTTGCTGAGAGCCCTCGGTTTCAAAAGAAAATTCCCAAGCAAGAATAGCATCATAAAGTTCAAACAGCCCTGAAAAGTCCAGCTGAAATGGCCACGGGTGTCTCTGTAAGGAAATCGGATGCTGTACAGGCATGTCAGCAGGGCTGTCAGCAACATTTGAGCTCCTTGGGTTGGTACCTTCTGTGCACCATCTGGGCTGTGCTGCAGTTTTGATGTCAGACGGGGGTGGGAAACAGTTGCTGCGAGGAGAACCCAGCAATCCAGGCTCTGAGGTGACCACAGCCCATAGCTGCACCAGCAGCAACTTATCCTAGATAATTTTACAGTCCTCAGCCAAGCACAAAGCACCAAATAGTGTTCATTGCCACTCGGCGGCCACAGCGTAGGGCGCCTGGAATCCAGCAGCTGACACGAGCTGGATGGGCACGACCTACATGGCTGATGGAAGGTTGCACGCTCTTGCCAATAACAAAGAGCTACAAAACATGCTCAGATTCACCACCAAACTCTTACATATATAGCCTTGCCACAAACAGTTGGTGCGGAGCACTGTACAAATATAGCAGTACCCCCATCCAACTTGGCAGGTCTATCTCAATGGCCTCATCACACTGCATTAACAGTTTCCAAGTGGAGCACTTACCCTGTCCATCCTCAACATACTTTTAAACTCTCTTTTTGTTTAGACTCTGGCTACTGCCCCAGTTGGTTTCTTTGATCACAGAGACTTCCAGAGCAAAGTGTGGGGATATTTCTTAAACTTTGGATTCTTATTTGAAAGCATCTGAAATTCTAAGTCTCTCCTACCACGAGATCCTTCCCCTGCAATAGACTCTTCGGTACACAAAATTCCAGATGTTCTTTCCCTTGGTAGAAGACAAATGGAGAACCCGACACAGGAAGAGATGTTTGGTGAAAGAGAAATACCATAAACAGTTTGTTCGTCCCTTAAAACAGTATAACTTCAGGTAAGAAGTGAAAGTCAGCTGATGGAAGGACGTGACTGCGGGTCACTCAGCTGGGGTTCCCAGGTGTCGCTTCCAGCCTCCCTCCTCAATAAGTCCTGCTTACCCAGCCCCTATAGAGCTATGTGAAAGAGACAGGACTAACCACATTCCTCTCAAACTATTTACACCACTGAAGGAAAATCACTTTTACAAGCTCAACCTAAGAAGACCTTTCATTATTTTCAATTAAATATATGCGTATAGCATAAGAAAGAAAAAAGCAGGCAAAGTAGCATTTCTCTGAAGACATTCACTCACATGTACCTTAAAAAAGCCACTGTAAAGAAAAATATGAAAGATATAATTTTTCATTAATATTAATCAGCAACACTTCAGGCAAACATAATTTTTAGGGGAAGAGCAATAATATTAATTTTCTGGTAAACACCCACATTATCTGCAGATGGACAGGTGCTAGAAAAAAAAGTTGTTCTTCATGGGCAATACTATACTAACTCTTAACCTTTTGTTTGGTAACATCCCAGACATGAAGACTGACCACCGAGTTTGTAAAAAACAGAAGATCCAGGATGGAGAAAGCACCAGCCATAGCTAGAGGATGGAAAGCTGGTGTATCACATACCAGCTTTGGCCGATGAGCTTGAGCGCTCATAGCTGAAATGCTCAGTACAATCAACAGAGAGAAGATGGACCTCATCAGGGCAACCCAGAAAGTGGTGAGTGAGTGAGGAGGTAGACAAAACTAGTTTGTTAATTGGAAGAAACTAGCACCAGTGCTTATATATCTCTCTGTATTTCCACTTCAAGACTGGATTGCAGTGAAGTTGAAGTAAAATACTCAACCGTTTTGACTCAGACACTTCTGCCTCTGTGCAAGCACTTGAGCTTAAGTGTCTAAGAAACTCCTGGGTTCAAAGTGTGGGCATGTTTCAGCTCCTTCAATGGCTTGGCAGCTACAGGGTGCAGAGTTACTGTCATGTACCCAGAGACTCAAATTCTCATCCAGCGCTAAGGAGCAAAAGCAGGAGGTGTGAGTCTTGCCCAGGGTAGTGGAGACATGGCAACGAAGGAGAAGGCAAAACGGTGGACAGGTTTTGGAAAATGGTAGTAGAGAGCGCTGTAGAAAGAGAATAAGAACCTGTGGTAATTAACACAAGGAGAAAACAAAAACTGGAAAACGATAAAACCCTGGTAGTTAGTTCCATCTTTTGAATATGTAAAGTTTTAGACTTAAAGAAGCTACCCACTTAAAAATAAATGCCTGAAGCTATGAACGTTTTCACATGAGCTGACCCTCTACTTTCCTACCTGTCTTTGAGAACTCTAATGTTTTATCCTGAAACCTGACCAAAAGATACCAGAACACAGAGAAATTGTATTCTGATGCTATTCCACAGCTTTGTCTTGCAATACATAGACAGTGAACAGTACGCCATGACACGCATTTACATGGATTGAGTGGGACCCTGGAGCATGAAAAAGTTCTTCCAGACAGTTCCCTGTAGAAAATGAGTATTTTCTATTGTTTGGGGTAGTTAATTACGAAGTTTTAAAGGTATGACTCAATGCCCCAAATGGAACTAGTCATTTTTTTAATCTTCTACTAACAAAACATCTATTTCTAAGAGCCCTCCAAAACCTTGCCTTTTGTAGTCCAGATGCCACAATCCAAATTAGTTTAATTACTTTTACCATATTATTTTTCCTACCCTACCATGACTCCCCTCACTTAAGCACTTAAGAACATAGTTACAACAGTTACTCATTAAATCTTCCTAAACTCAAGCAAATAATGAATTAATAATGCTGAATAATGACCG